GGATAAAACCGCCTCAATGATAACAGCAGCACTATTTGTGGTATCACGAAGGCAGACTTTTCGTGGAATAAACAATCAGGAAAGGATTGTCGTAAAAATCCAGTTTTCTCCATGCACAAATCAAAGTTAGAGTGACGATTTGATCAAGAAAAATTCCAATTCGAAAGCGAAAATTTCAAAAGACACAAATTAACCCAGTTTTATGGTGTAACATTGAACTTGTTTATAACAATAATAAATCAGATGCTATAAATAGAAGTATTTGCCCGAGTATTTTCCCGATCATTTGTATACGAAAAAGTAGTCTTAGAACATATCCAGAAAACTTCAAAGGTATTCCTTGAAAAAATACAGGGTTCATTCCATATTGGCCAACTTTAAGGCACTATCATCCCCCCCCCCCTTTCGTGAAAGGCCGTATTGTTATTGTTTGGTACCATAGGGAAACCATCGATTACAGAAACCTCTATACTTAAGGTAATGTAAAATTTTGGATTTGTATAAAAATAACGATCGGTTTTTCTTAAAAAAATTGCATTACATCTTATTGAATGTAATCAGAAAAATTCGTAAATGGATCGATTTTTGTAAATAGAGCAAATTTGTGTCGTAGAAAATAATTGTTTGAATTCATTTAGAAGGATTTTTGGGTTTTTCCTCCTTTTGAAATTATTTTGTCCCATTTTTGTTAGCTATAAGGTATTTTCTTTCTGTATAAAATCGCCATTTTTAGCGCATTTCCACAAAAATAAAAAAAAATGCGCTATTGTGGCCGCTTTGTCCGTCCGTCCGTCTGTCCGTCCGTCCGCTAACTTTGCGACGCTACTAGTTTTTTATCTTAAGAGCTATTGTTCTACTTTTTTCGCTATTTGGTTCGTTATGGTGTCGAGTCTTGTACCAAGGAAGAAATTTTTTCTGTACCGCTTACAAAAAAAGTTATTGTAAAAAAAACAAAAAACCGTTTTTTACATGTTCCATAATTTTACACTTTTGCCGTTTATTAACGATCCTAGAGATCGCTTATAATTTTGCATTGCTATCTGTCGCCTGCCGGTTGGTCTCTCCGTCTGTTCCTTTGTCTGTCTGTCCATCTATCTGTCCGTGTGAACCATAACTTTGTTTAGAAATGTTCGATCGCTTTTACATCTCCGTTAGTTATGAACTGAATTGCATGAAATTCAATATGGGCATAGCTTTAGCCATATAATACGCAATGCCAAAAGTGGAATCGAATCGATTCAAAATTCACAGTGCCCTTTTCGCATCTCGACCATTTATAAACCGAATTGCAAACTTTTTTATTAAGTATTTGAATGAAATTTGATACATAGGCACTTGGAATAAAGGAAAATCAAACGCCAATTTCAAAATTTGGTTTTGCGCATGCGCAGTGCCACCTTTTTTATTTATGGAAGAATTTAAACGAAATTTGATACATAGGCACTTGGGATAAAGAAAAATCAAACGCCAGTTTCAGTTTCACAATTTGGCGTTGCGCATGCGCAGTGCCACCTTTTTTATTTATGGAAGAATTTAAATGAAATGTGATACATAGGCACTTGGAATAAAGGAAAATCTAGCGCCAGTTTCAAACTTTTATTTTGCGCATGCGCCGTGCGAACTTTTTTATCTATGGAACTATTTAAGTGAAATTTGATACTTAGGCGCTTGGAACAAAGGAAAATCTTAGTTTATTAGTTAGTTATAGTAAATTAGTTTTAAAATTTAGGTTTGCGCATGCGCAGCTCCAACTTTCTTGTTTAGAAAAGCATTGAAATGAAATTCTTCTCATAAACTGAAATTGAAGTAGCACGTCAACAATGGATTGCCCATGTGCAACGCTATCTTTCATATTTGTGGGCGGATTTTTACGATTTTAATAGAAGTTGCATCTTACAAATGGGAAATGAATGCAAGTGGAAATGCGCTTTATGTAAATCGTTTACGATTACTTTTTAACTTGTTGTATTTGATTGGTTGAAAAATCTTTGAAAATAGCTGAGATATCACCGAAAACTGAAAATATTAAATTTTCCCTAGCTTAAGCGGTAAAAAATGGACGGTACCGTTTATAAGAAGGTGCCAATGGAAACCGTCCATTTCCGATTGCATTTGGAGAAAAATCGGCGTTAGGGATCGATTTGCGCCCGAACGGAAATATCGCATTAAAATTGTTAATAATTTTTTATAAATTTACACATTTAAATCATATTTGATAGCTTCGGAGCTCGCTTCGGAGTGAATTGTTAAATATGCGTAATAATTTGTGGCATTTATAAGGAAAGTTAATAACGGGGTCCGATAGCTCAGATAGCAAGGCTGCAATTTCCATATTATAAGGGTCGATGAGGCGTTCATTAAATTGATGCGACACAATGGAAAAGATATACTAAGGACTTAATTTATTCGAATCCCAGATACTATTGCTATGGATACCAACGTATTGACGTAGACGTAGGTATCTTTGCGTATTGCAAGCAACTTAATTTATTTTTGGTCACTGGAATTCATCGAAATTCTTTGGAAGATTTTTTTGCGAATTATTTTTGGTTTTGGAAATCGTATGGAATTTTTTTAAATTCTGGAATTCTTTGACCCTTTTGGAATTCTGGTGTACACATTTTTGCTCCCTGGTGTAGGTACCCCTCGGTGTAACCTCGATATTTTTTGTGAACTGTATAAATCTAATTGCTTGCCTTTCTATAAGAAGGATGTTGAAAGAATATCAACACTAATGATTAACGTGTTTATTGATTAAAAATACAAATAAAGTAAATTGATTCTAATCTTGATGTGGTGATTCGATGTGGCACATCTACTGTAAAATAGGAACAATTAATAAAAGAAATATATGCGAAAGGATTTACTTGTTGATGTTTCAAAGTAGGTCTTGTACAAAGGGGATATAAACATACAAAACGATAAGCTATGGGAAGCGTTGGTTGTTTTTTGCGGTAGCGATAGCGTAGATTATTACTTGATTAAATCACAAAACCGAAGATTTGCTTCGAAGAAATCGATGATTACGACGAAAGCTTTCATGCGATTTACAATTTAAACTCGATGCTTTTTAACAGTCGTGTTCATTGTCGGCGATTGTTTGAAGACATCTTGTATTTGATTCAATTTTTGCTCGACGAATGCGAAGATGCGGGCTAATTCTAACTTTGATGGCTCATGCGCCACACATAACAAGTGGAAATATATAGAGGGACAGGTGCAATAGTTATACAGTGTCATTCATTTAGAAGTGGACATAGGGATTCCCTAACTCAGGGTTGTCTACGGTGTCTTGAGAGCATCTCATTTAAACAACTAATTTTAAAGTGATCCAACAGAAAATAAGTCTCTTACGCTCCTTAAACTGTTACCGGTATCAATAGACAATATAATAGTCTAGTAGTAGATATAGGGAAAATCCCCATGTCTACTTCTAAATAAATATCACTGTATACAGGACGTGCTAAGCATAATTTCTTTGAAGGATATTCAAAGGAATGACTAAAGAAGTGAATTCTATTCTGGGGTCACAACAAAAAGAAAATGCACCCGGTTACAATGCTCATTCAACAGGGGCTTACATTTGGACAGGTTTTTTCATAGGTACTTCAGAGTGAGTCTTCATTTGCCGAACTTTGTTCTTTCTCTCAAGCTCAGCTTTGATCAGATCGAGGACGTGCTTGCTCCAATATAGAATGCGGCGTTTGGAGCGCTAATATGTATGACCATCTAGTTTTGTTAATTAATTTGAGACGTTTTTCTCTACACGTTTCCCACTCCATAAATCCAATAATCCATAAAAAGTGGAAAAAATGCACGTTAGGAATAGTTTTATTTATGATATCTCTGATAAACGCACATTAATTTCCGTGCTTCCTTGATGGCGTTGTGGAAAAATCCTAGGGGAGGATTTTCTTATAAACCTTACTGATCGATCTAAAAGTGCACACCAAAATGCTTAGCCACAGTTTCCATTTATGTTTTTGGTTCACTATTATAACTGCACGCCTGATCATTCCCATGAGAATCACATCTACCTTTTCGCCAACAATCTACGCACTGTAGTTTCCTCGCAAAGTAATAAAGTAATGCGCTTTAGCACTCTGAGTTTGTTCACAGTTAAATCTGTGGCGAGATCTGTGGTTTGTGTTACCCTTACCTTTTAGATTAATGTGTACCTATATCCAGCATTCTGTTTAAAATTGAAATTGATAACTTTCTTAAAAATTGGGATCGTGTATGTGTAGAACACTGAACAAGTGTAGTTAAACCATAGTGTATTATTCTTACACTATGGTTAAACTTACGAAGGCCACGCGTGAAAAATGCGCTTTAGCCAATCGCGCGCGTGCTGCGGTTTTACCACTTATTTAATTAATATCACAGATTTTAGAAGGAACGCGACGCATATCGAGATATTTGTTTTAAGCAAAACAAATTCGAGTAGCACTGGGTATTTACTTCTGTTGTAGTGGTTTGATAAGTCGAACACTAACATGTCAATAATCTACAACGTGCACAGTGTATGACACAATAAATTGATCTCGATAGGTCTAATAAAGTTAGCTTGATTATTAGTTTAATAAGGTTTTTACGTCTGTCCGGCACTAAAACGTTGTGCGTTGAACTGCAATTCAATGAATCTTTAATAAGATCTGATTAATTTACGAACGTTCAAAGGACCAGGAATTTTTCAGTATGATCTGCACAGTACCCCGTATAACAGTTTTTGCGTGTATTTCGCAACTTCCTAAATTCCTACTAATTAAATTAGTCATAAAATATATTTAGAACTAATTAAATTTATCAAAAATTGTTCCATTCACATTTCACAATGGGGACTACGAGATTAAAGAGCAATAAATGAAACTGGCGGCACCGTCACGACGCGACGCCCTTTCTCTCGTCTCTTACTTATAGTAATTTTGGTCATGTAAACAGAATTTATCGTACGTTTGTAGGGAAGTCTCGTCGGTAAACTAATGCAATTTTTGTTTCAGAAAGAGCAACACTGTCTGGAAATAGAATCGAAACACTTTCGCTATAATGGAGTTCCAAACGAAAAAGCAGAGAAAGCCCAATCCGAGGGCAAAAATAAATCCAATATCTGCATTACTGTTTACGTAAGTATCATGTTAGTCAATTAGTATTACAATTACTCTTGCGGTTTGTCTAATTATAACGTATGCTTTGAAAAAATCCCTGTTGATTGTATTTTCTAGGTCGTCGTGTTATTTTGCACACGCAAATTCCTTAAGGTATAATTTGCTTGCTTGATTTTTATTGAAGCTGCCAACACTTCTTTCCAATGTCTGTCTTGTCTGAAAACACTATGTTTTTTCTGGTTTTTTTCCGTTCAGTTCTCTAAATGAATGAATTTTAGGATTAAATAAGGTCTATTTAAAGTTCTTAATTATGCCAATCCACTGAACCGAGGTTAAAACAGTCCAGCACAACCTCGAGCACAACCCACCCTTAGAGTCAGTGTGGTTTTGTCAAACCCGAGGTCAAACCCATGAGAGCTCACTTGAAAAATACGGATTATGTTTTTAATAACACATTATTCAACTGTATTTGTTTATTTTGCAGCACCGATTACCGCTATTTTCGGTCATTTTTTGCAATAAACAAGGTCTAATTCCATTAATGTAGCCTTCGATGCTCAATTTCAAAGCGTCTCTATACAGGCTGTTTCACGCAAACAGTTACCTAAAAGTGTTCAGGCTCTCATTGATTATTTAAATCTGAAAAAGTGCATACCAACATTGCTTTTCATAGTCTATGGACAGAAAATATTATCATTATCGTTTTACTCGCGGTTTTACCGGATATGGATAGCAACTTTCTTATTTTAAATAGGGCACCCTTTATTTTATTGGATTTTCGAAATTTACGTCGTTTGATACCTACCACATTTCCCTATACCCAGCATCAAAGGTTTTCAAGTTATTCAACAATTTTCATAATGTTTGACGTTTGACTGCTATTCCTTTGAGATCCATGACTCCGTTGCGTTGAATTTCAAAGTCTTCCAAAACCAACAATATTGACTTGATGCTACATGAGAATGATTTAAATTTTAATGGCTCTTTTACAGGGTGTTTTAGAACTAATGGTCAATTTTAATACCTGCAAACTTTGAAAACTTTGATTTTTTCAAATAAACATGCTTTATTTTTTTGCATTTGCAAATGTCGAAAAAATTCTACGTCGTTCAATTGTTACATTCTCTATACAAGGGCTGCTCAACGTTTTAAATTGACAGGTCCAACGGACGATTCAGACATTTTCAGGGGGCCAGTGACTACATCCACATCCCTCAAAACCGGCAACGACAGATCCCAGGATAGATAATGAAAAGTTAATTTAAATTTAAATTATCCATGAGAGAGGTAACGGTTTGCGTGAAACAACCTGTATAGTTGGAGCCTTATTGGTTAGACTGACGGTTTGTAATAACCACACAGGAAGTCCGAGGGCTTGCAGACCATTAACTGGCTCTAATAACTTCCTATAGTATCACTGCCAATATGGGATGTTGGACTATCTTGCTAGAAAAACATGCCGCCATGCCATAAACCACACCGCACAACGTTGTGTTTCGTAACCAACACGATTAGAGTAGTCGTCTTCTGAAAAAGCCCACTCAGCGAACAAACGACGCTAATGATCGTCAGTCGCTTAATTATTTTCGTCCATTTGACAGATATTTTTTAATGAAATGAAGGGAAGTACCTTAACATTATGCTCGACCTCCCCCTCCTCTCTCCCACTAATGCGTAGAATGTAACTGTACTAATAATGATGTCGAATTGCTCCAAGCCGCTAACACATATTGCCCATAACAATCTTTGTTGCGATTCATTTCAAACTTGCAATTTAATGAGCAATTAATATAGAGACTAGTTTAACATTGAAACCATAGTTGAAGGCCATTCTTTGGGAAGAAGGACTCCAAAATTAATGCTTTACTTTGTTGTCAGATATTTGGTAAAATTAGTCATTATTCAAAACCAATGTCCTTGGTAAAAATGCCCGAACGTATGGGTCTCGACGCGCACAAACAAAAAAATTTATGTTTTTCTAATTGCTTATTGGTGATGGTTACATGGGGCACTAAAAAATCATAATTGATACTTGTTTGTGACTGCAAATTTTATTCCTTTACTAACACACGTATGTTTTTATTAGACAAATGTATCCAATTTTATGTCGAAATTACAAGACCGGATTGACAGAAGACGATTTGTTCGAGCCATTGGATGAACACAAGTCGAGCAATCTCGGCGACAATCTGGAAAAGGCATGGAGCGAAGAGCAAGTTAAACACAAAAAATATGCGCTGCATTTGGCACTGTTCAGAGTGTTTGGTGTCAGTTTTGTAGTTTTAGGAATTTGCAAACTTGTACAAGTCTTGATACCAGTGTAAGTAAATTCGATCAGATTATTTGAGTTCGTTTAAGTAGTTCTTTACAGGATTGTCATGCCTAAAGCGATAGGCATATTAGTCTCTTATTTCAACAAAAATTCAGACATTGATGATAATCAGGCCTATCTGTATAGTGCGCTGCTGATCTTATCGCTTGCCGTTGACGCATTGTTCTGTCATTCAACAATGATGGGGATGATGCATTTATGCATGAAATTAAGAGTCGCTTGCTGCTCCCTAATTTATCGAAAAGCGCTTAGATTAAGTCAGTCGTCGTTGGGTCAAACCACCATTGGACAAATTGTGAACTTGCTATCCAACGATGTGAGCAAATTCGACCAGCATTTTATCGTATGCCATTACGTTGTTGTAACTCCAGTACATGCCATCCTAGGCACATATCTGCTCGCAAAGATTATTGGTGGTCCCGCCGCTTTTGCCGGGATTGGTTTTTTAATATTATTCATTCCTCTACAATGTAAGTTGTCTTCGCTCCGTTTTACATTTCTTTAAGTTATAATAGTGATGACTTGTTTTAGTGTACCTGGGTAAGCGCACATCCGTCCTGAGATTACGAACGGCACTGCGAACAGACGAACGAGTACGCCTTATGAACGAGATTGTCTGCGGAATTAAAGTAATTAAAATGTATACCTGGGAAAGACCTTTTGCAAAACTAGTTTCCTATGCCAGAAGGTGCAACCCTCATCATCCATTTATCAATGAATTCTGTTGTCTCTTTTTAGAATTGAAATTAACTCAATTCGCGCTCAACTTCTTATGCAAGCCGTTGTATACTCATTGGAAATGTTTACAACAAGAACATCCGTTTTTATTAGTATTTTAGTTTACATATCCTATGGGCAAAACATAACTGCCGAAACGGCGTTTGCGATCACTGCCATATATAATATTCTTCGACCGATAATTACAACGTTGTATTCTGAGAGCATAATGTCATTCGCCGAGGTGCACATTTCCATATCTAGATTGCAAAAGTTTCTGTGTTTCGAGGAACTACCGCAAAAACGTCTCGAAGCGGAGGATAAGGCGAGGTGTCAGCGTAATGGTAAAATTTCAATTTTAAATGAGGACGAAGAATTCGAATTGGATGCTAAATGTGAAAATCCCAGTATTTTATTGCATGGAGTCAAAGCCAATTGGATAGTGGATTCGCCCGATAACACTTTGAGTGATGTCAATCTGAATATTGAGAGGAACCAATTAATTGCAGTCATCGGTCCGGTTGGAAGCGGGAAGAGTAGTTTGTTCAATGTGATCTTAAGAGAGTTGCCAACGTCTTCAGGGTACGTGAACATCCAAGGCCGAGTCTCTTACGCCTGCCAGGAACCCTGGTTGTTCTCGGCTAGTGTACGGCAGAACATTCTGTTCGGCGATGCGTACGACGAAACTCGTTACAAAGCCGTAGTAAAGGCGTGCGCTTTACGCTCTGATTTAGCCATGTTCCCATTTGGTGATCGAACGATCGTTGGCGAAAAGGGGAATTCGTTAAGCGGCGGTCAAAGAGCGCGAATTAATTTAGCTCGAGCTGTCTACAAAAGAGCCGACATTTACCTTTTGGACGATCCCCTGTCTGCGGTCGATGCCAAAGTTGGGAAGCAACTCTTCGACGACTGCATCATGAGATTTCTGAACAATAAGATTCGTATTTTAATCACACATCAGTTACAATACTTGAAGGAGGCGGACAGAATTTTAATCTTCGATGACGGCAAGATCACACAGGAGGGTACATATCAGGAGCTATCAACTAGCGGCTTGGATTTCGCGAAACTTTTAGCCGAATTTCAAGTGGGCGAAGAGGAAGAAGAACGAAAGAGGATTAGGTCCCGCCAAAACTCTGAAATATCTCTGGATCGCTTTGACGTGGAAGATATTGACCCTGAATTGCAAGAGGAGAAGGCTGCCAGTGGGAATATTAAGTTGGAGACCTACGTCTCTTATTTCAGGTCAGGAGGTGGATACTTTGTAATTCTCCTGATGGCACTTGCCTTTGTTGCTGTACAAGGCACAGCTAATCTGAGCGACTACTACGTTGCTTATTGGTAAGTCGGAGATCGTACGATTGTTTTACTTATGATCTTTTGCAGGGTGAATAAAGAACAAGACGCTTCAAATCCGGAAAAGAACGTGACCATCGACAGAGACGCAATAATTTACACGTATTCAGGAATTATTTTGGCGACAATAGTTATATCAGTTTCTCAAGGACTGCTTTACTTTGCATTTATGATGCGAGCGTCTATAAATCTACACGATTTCATTTTTAGTAAAATATCGTACGCGATCATGCGATTTTTTGACGTTAATCCAACTGGTAGAATTTTGAACCGATTTTCCAAAGATATGGGCATTATTGACGAATATATACCACTTATATTCAACGATTTTTTCAGAGTAAGACTTAATTCTTGAATGCTAAGATTTTGAAATAATTCCTTTTTACAGATTGCGTTGTACTTATTTGGAAGTTTGATATTAAGCGCGGTGGTAAATCCGTGGTTTATTATTCCGTCGATAGTCTTGCTTGTTATTTTCTATGGGCTACGTTCGATTTATATGGAAACCAGCAGGAGTGTAAAACGGATAGAAGGGATAAGTAAGTTTCAAATATTCGCGTTATTGCTCAAAGCTCACGTGGAATTTTTTGAACCTCAACTCCAAAGTTTGGGGTACGCGGCCGCAATTACATTAAATTTGTGCTATACATGTTAGGTTACAATCATAACTAGTCAACAACAATTTGGCAACATTCTTTTGTGATGCATAGCTGTATACTTTTTTGTAGAGGTAGGTAGGTATCTCGGTAGGTATGCTGTACATGTGCAGGATTTTCCAGTTGTGTCGTATTTCAGCGCAACACAGCTAGCGAATTCTTTCAACACCAAGTTCGAAAAAACCATCCTGCGGGTATAGGGTGATTGACTTAACTTTTGGTTTAAGTGAACGCTTTCGTGGCATTGCCGGCGGCTTAGAACAGAATCTTTTTTCTCTGTCGCGCTCTGATGCGATCTCTTTCGCGGATTAATCTGAAATCTTACTACTTCCCACCCACTTCCCATCAACTGCCTAATTTCGTACTATTTAGATATTTTATTCACGCCCATTCTGGGACGTACAACTTTCCCCACCAATAGAACTCGTTTTTTCTAGTCAATCAAACCCTTGGAAACCTAAATTTACGGATATAAATCTGCTCCACGTTGACTCTGCCGCATTGTCAGAAACCACGCCACAGTGATAACGAGCAGATTTGGCTCAGCAGAATGGTGACGTAATTATAGTCAATTTTATCTTAAGTCGCGACTTTCTGCAAATCGCGGTACTTACAATAAAGAAAAAAAAACGCAATTATATCCTCCCTACTAGAGTTTTTAGGCGAATTAATTATTCCAGAATTCCCAATTTAGTGAATCCAATTGCCAGAGATTAATAAAATATAGGCGAGCTCACAAAAGGAATAGGAATACGAAGGTCGACAATCTACAATATGTCCTCATTGTTTTTCAAGAAACTCAAACATTTAATTTAAATAACGGGCGATATCCCGGTATTTCGGGATCCCGGTATTGCATTCCCTAGTTGGGTGTATAGTGTAACTGAGTATGTCTAAATTCTCTCCATAGCTTAGTAGCTACTATGGAGAATCATCTTTTTAGAGCTTGATGTACCGCCTGAAGAGTGGCGAATTCCGTTTTCTCTTCATTTAGATCGAGTTCTATGTGAAACATTAAGATTGTAACCAAATGTATAGCAAGCGAACTTAAAGACCGTTGTGTTTATATGCTATGATAATGTTATGTGAAATTTAATTTATGAATTCGTCTTTTAGCAAGAAGTCCTATTTTCAATCACATGGCAGCTTCATTGTGTGGAGTATCAACCATAAGAGCATTTTCAGCGGAAGAATTACTTGTAAAAGAATTTGACAACCATCAAGACTTGCACAGCTCCGCGTGGTTCTTGTTTATTTTATCCAATCGAACTTTTGGCTTTTGGGTAGACGAAATATGTTTACTCTTCATTACTTTTGTAATACTTTGCCTATTATTTATACAAACAGGTAGGTATCTTCATACACTTAATACCAAAAAGCGCTCACCAAATGCATTTCAGACTATTACGGCGGAGATGTAGGCTTGCTTCTCAGTCAGTACATCGGTTTGGTTGGTACACTCCAATGGGGAATGAGGCAGTGGAGTGAATTAGAAAATCATATGACATCAGTTGAACGAGTTTTGGAGTATACAAAATTGGACACAGAACCTGAGCGGAAAAAATTTGAAAACTTACCCGCGAAATGGCCAGCGTTCGGTAAAATAGTATTCTCAGATTTGTCAATGAAATACGACCCCGAAGAAGAATTTGTACTTAAACATTTGAACTTCACAATCCGTCCCTCGGAAAAGATTGGCATCGTCGGACGAACCGGTGCTGGAAAGACATCCATTATCGCCGCACTATTCCACTTATACGAGCTTGAGGGCGCGATTGTCATTGATGGTGTTGACACGGCAAAGCTTCCATTAGATTTACTTAGGTCCTCCATTTCAATAATTCCACAAGAACCTGTGTTGTTCTCAGGCTCAATTAGGAAAAATTTGGATCCGTTTGAGGAGTACACTGACGATGTAATTTGGAGTGCCTTAGAGCAGGTGAAACTCAAAGAACTGATCGCTGAGTCTCCTGCAGGATTAAATGGAATAGTGTCAGAAGGTGGATCCAATTTTAGTATTGGACAAAGACAACTAGTATGCTTAGCGAGGGCCATTATACGTAATAACAAGATTCTTGTTATGGATGAAGCTACAGCGAATGTAGATCCACACACAGATGGGTTAATCCAAAAAACGATACGTAAAAACTTCGCGCAATGTACTGTATTAACAATTGCTCATCGTTTACACACCATAATGGATTCCGATAGAGTATTAGTCATGGATGCGGGAAGAGTAATTGAATTTGATCATCCTCATAACTTACTGCAACAAACCGATAGCATTTTCTACACAATGGTGAAGACCACAGGAAACATTACCTCCAAAAATCTCCACAGTATAGCTGAAGAGGTATGTTTGAAATGTTGTGGAATTATTGTTAACACTCATTTTTAGAGCATTACCAAACTGAAAAATATGGGATACTAATTTCATTACCTCACCATTTTTACCTATACACGACAGTGGCTTTCATCTATTAGTGCATTATTTAAGGGTACTATTATGTTAGGCAATTAATACTTTTTTTTACAAAACTGTTATTTAAACATTTTTAAATCACGTATTTTTAATAAAAATATTTAATGAACTGAGCGACGGCAAATTAATTATTCTTCCCATTAACTCACTAGGCTTGAAATTGTTAGTGTCCAAAAAAGAATGTGATCATATTACCACACCGACGGGTTGACATTTCCACTGTTACTCCAGTACTCATTCTCAAGCTCCATGATTCGGTAATAGCAATAATCAAAACAGTGGACTATAGGAGAGGCTAACTGGCTATGAAGAATGGTTGCGACATTCGTGAATGTAGTGGCGTCAGGTTTTTGAAATGCAAAGGGTATATTCTACTAATCGACTATAATTTACCCGCATCTCCGCTTGGGGTTAGCTGCAAACCGGTTACTGGACTGGAGACCTAGCCTCGGAAACAGGATGGAAAACGACCAATGCAAGGAAAAAGGAAAATCTCTTCCGGAAACGACACCAACTTAGAATCGCATGCTGGAACGTAAAATCCCTGAGCAATAAAAAACACGAAATACATCCTTGATTGAACAAACACAAAATAGACACATATCCACTTTTTGAGCTCTACAAGACACCGTTAAGAAATTTTCAATACATTCATATTCAAACGTTTCGTTTTGAAGAAATCATCATCAACTTTATTTTTATATGACCCGAAAAAAAGTAGATACTGTATTGAATAGAATTTTCGACATATGTATGGGTCACAAAAAGGAATATGATGGATAGTATTAAGAGGCCTAAAGAAACCAACGAACGAAAGTACAGCGAAAAAGCATCACAAAACTACTTTGACAAATTATACAGGTACTGTACAAGAGAGAGAATAGTACAACAAAAGGAGCAGAAATTCTTCTACAATAACCTTTAGAGAACTTCACAGAGGAACAAGTAAAAGACGCCATACGGAAACTAAAAAACAGAAAAACACCGTATGCAAACAAAATTTACAACAAACAAATCAAATATCTAGAGAAGAGATTGCTCAAGAATACACAAATGTAGGTATTCTATAAAATATTGAAGGACCGGAAAATTCCTGAGGAATGGAGGAAATACAACTATACCTACCCGTTTTCAATAAAGGGGACAAGACAGGTCCCGGAAACTACCGAGGACTCACTCTTTTAAGTCCATCCTTGAAACTATTAATCAGTATAATTGCAAACGAAATAAGGTCCAGCATACCGGCCCATATGGAAGAACAACGAGGTTTCAGGAAAAATCGTTCAACAATATAGGCGCCCTTTTCATCATACGACAGATCTGACAAGAAGCCATTTACAATACACCGGCATATTTCGGCTACATAAACTTACCTGTCGATGCGACTTTTGATCCGATACAATTAAATGCCGTCATTAACGCCCTACAAAAGAAGAAATACCCCCCAGTGGGGTAATAAATGATCTGAACACAGGAAACTTAACACAATTAAAAGTAAATGGAATGATAACACAAAATCGCAACCACGTCCGGAATACGATGGAGAGATCCCAATCTTATTCAACACAGTAGGTATAAGGGATGAACTTATAAACGCAGTAAAAAAGCTGGCTCAGGATATTATAGAATATAGACTATAGGACGACAAAACAAGATAAAAATATGCAGATGACGCCACACTTATGTCGAAGAGCGAAGACGACCTGCAATGAATGCTGCATGCCTTCAAGATCAAGGCAGAAAAATACAACATGAAGATTTCCACGAGCAACACAAAATCAATGACAATATCGAAAAACTCCCTTTGATGCAAACTTGCAATAAACAATAGGTACCATGACCATCATCGAACAAGTTATGAAAATTACCTTCGTAGTACACAGGCACTATGCCTAAGAAAATAGAAAAATAAAAATAAAAATTAGAAGACCTTGAAAATAGCAAACAATCAACAGACTCTCTACTTTTTGTAGATTGTGTGTGGGGGGGGGGGGCATAGCGTTCCTATGTAAATTTGAGTTTGTACAAAAAGGCAGAAGCTGTAGCGAACATTTGCAATAAACCTTGTAGCGTTGAGCGAAGCGATCTTTCACTCAACGCTTGTATAGTGAATATGGGGAATAATAATGATATTATTATGTAATGCACGAATGAATTTGTAGAATAGGAGATCATTAAAATGGTGTGATCAGCACAAAATCGTAATTTCCACGAAGCGTGAATGATAATACATGTTGCATTTTTGGAATATTTCTTATAATTAATTACAGATTACCTTTGTTTATGATGACCGTTATAATCTTTATTATCATATATCATATTATTATCATCATTATGAAATTGATAATTGCCCATTGCATGGCGAGCTAGGCATAGTTTTCGCGGGTTAAAATTAAAAAGGTTCCCAAAACAAAAGCAAGTGTCACCGGAATTACAAAAAAAAAAAACAGATCGATGGCGTCTTTGCTAGACAAACAAAGTAACGATGTACTAAAGTAACTAAAGCACTAGCTCGGACATCACCTGCGCCTTCTCTATCAAAGAGGATGTCGAATTTTCTATTTCCCGTCAGTTTGCCCCGCGACTTGCTCGCGCCATCGTGATTTTCGCAAGAAACCACCTTAATACTCCACTACAGAAAGTGCCTCCCTCCCCCATTTGAAGGCTCCCAAAGTCTTTGGGTGATCCTTTAGGAGATCTACAGAAGTTTTGAAAGGGTCTTTAGAAAACTTGTGTTGCATCTTGCGGAAGGCTTTTGAAGGCTGGACTTTCTTAAATCCACCTAAAGTTCGTAGCCAATTTTACAAAGTTTTCAAAATACAGATATTAAATACCCTTAAAGGTTATTAAAAGCGCTTAAAAACTCTTAAACGTTAAACTTTTAGAGGCGTGTTAGCATCAGCTATAAAGGCCGTGGAGAATATGAGAAAACATTTGATAACTGACAAAGACTTTTAAATAATCTTAAAGATCAATAAAGCCCCTTGAAGGTTCTAATAGCTCTGAATGTTTCTTGAAATACCCCAAGGACAAATACAAGGTTTTAAGTTCTCTTAATAAGGTTCTAAAGTCTCAAGGGGACCCTAATAGATTCTTCTTTTGACGCTTGAAAGCTCTTGAGGTTTGTTAAACACTTTTGAAATAGCGGATGGGATTTTAAAAACTAAAAGCTCCTAGAAGCCTCATAGAAATAGGTACTTGGATGGTTTTGAAAACTTCTGAAAGCCTTTTAAAGATTCTTAAGGTTTATTACAGACTAGTGACACTGTAATAATGTTAATAAACGCCCATGTTTTTAAAATACCCCTATAAAGTTCTTAGAGTATCTTGGGAACTATCCCCATTGATCCTCATAACATTTATAGATCATGCTTATACAGAATTCGGATATTCGACAACAGAAACAATTACAGAGAAAAACTTACGTTTCGATAGCGATTAGTAGCTTAATTAAATTAATTTTTAACTTTTTTTAACTTGCAAAGGAAGCGGGCGTGCAGGCAGTCTGTCAATATAACTCGATAGAGTAAAGTTAGTAAAGATGGGCAATATTGTTTAGCAGTTGGCAATGTTAAGGGAGTTCGAGTCTCACAGTTCTGTATGGTAATTTCTCTTTATTCAACGCTCATTAATTGAATCGAATTCATCACTGCAGCTGTCAATGAGACCAGAATTGAGCCTTAAACATTGGTTTTATAAACTGTAGGTCATTTCAACCCTTAATATCAGTTCACGTTTCCGTGGACAATCGGTCCGTGCGTTCGTAGACCGAAAATTAAAGGCTCATCGTGGTCTTGATGCACTTAATACTTCCAGTTTATTTTTGTACTTTTTTATTTATTGTGAATGGAAGTTAGTATACCAGTTACGCATTCACAGTTTTCATTAAATCTCGTTTAAATTATGCGAACTGTCGATTACATAACAGTTACCTATGAATGTATGGATTAGAAAACGAGATGATGACGGTAAAGGAATTAACTATCGAGTTAATGACGTCAATCCATAACAGACAAAACGGGCTCTAGCCACTCACTTTTCTGGAGATGTCGGTTTCCTAATTCGTTTTTTACTCGAAAGACCATGAAAAAAAGAAAAAAAAGCGCCAATGCAGAACCGAATTTTCTGCCAAGTGCAATGACATCCAGCATTGGTAGAATGCAAATGTAGGTAGGTACTGCAAAAAATGGGTAAAAACAAATTTATTGTTTTATTGTAAGAAATCGGTTATGATGACTAGAAAATGTTTATTTATAAACTACCTTTGTTGGGGAAAAACCTAAATCTCGTTCGCTTAAGTCGGGGAAAAATTGCTATAGCACGCGTATAGGTTGCGCTTTCTACATACTAATTACCCAGATATCTACCTTTATATTATGTTTTATGCATACCTGTATTTTTGTTCGAATTTACTGTAATGGGAGTATTAGTTGGCCATGGATGCACGTGTCTGGATTAAAAAGGAATTAAAACTGAAACGAGCAAATTTCTTGTAACAATACTGAACAAAGTTCTTTCTCACATGGTCTAATAATATTTCTTAGAATATTCCAGATGCAGACTTGCAGAGATAGTGCTAATGACGAATTACTTAAACACAATCCTTCCACCCATTAGTCTTGCGGTTTTCATCCCTCAGGGTGGAAAATGTTTGTCGATTTTGCAAAAAAAAATTAACACATTTTAGGGACTTTTAGCGGACTCTAAATCTAAACGATCTGCACATCGCGTCACTTCTAGATTATGCAGTATTTAGCATATTTTCATTATTCTCAGGGATTGAAAACATTTTGGCTCTTATTAACACCCTGGAATACGGAAATATTCCAAAAAATTCGGATTTTGTATTATTTCCAACCGTGTGGTTTCAAGCGGTCGTTTGTGAATCCACTCCGCGCAATTCCTGTAGGAAGAACTCCAAACATATATGGTTTCGATGGCCAAAAGTGAAGAGCTGAGCTAGGTAAGCGTTGCGAAACGTGGTGATTCTAATTCGTACCAGTTCACCAATTTTCTCGATCACCAATAACAAAAACTCGAATCACGGATACTTTGGGCTTTGTTATATTCAAAGCTTTTGGTAATGATCCATTTGTGTGAATCATTTGTTTCAA